GATGCTAGTGCTGCAAAATTACACACTTCACCCTTTGTGGTTATACTTTCAAAACGGTGTGTATTTCAGTATTTTTGATCTCTATTCTGGTGCTATGCCATTCCCCATAGACCTCTGTAGTAAGTGGCTTATTGTGAATTTTTTGTTTGTTTTTACAAACTGAAGCACGAGTCACAATGATTTTCTGTGGAGCTTTTGAACTCAGCCTGAACTTCCTTTAAAATGTATAACCGTTACATCATGTATTACTTTCTATTTAATATGTTTGTATATCACTGTTTCATGATGCGGATTTGTGTATTACTTAACTTGAATAAGTTTCAAATTCATTCATTCATTTCAAAGAAGAGGCGCTCTATTAAATGAGTGGATTTTTTTTTATTCGATTAACAAATCATCAGCCTGTTTTTTGACTAATTATATTTTGACTGAGTATCTTATTGTTACCAACCTGAATGCACTGTGCATGTGACTGCGTCAAACCATACACATTTGTTAGCATGTGGACTAAATGACCTCTCTCACATTCATTGTATGAAAATGCAAAAATGTGAGGGCCTTGTCGAACTCTGCAAAGTATTATTTTCCCACGAGGACCTGATTTACCCAAGAATCTGGGAACATTTTTCACAAGGACAAACTGTGCTGGGGAAAAAAGGTCATGTGGGGTAAACAAGCTTGGGGTGTGTCTTCAGTGAACAAGGACACACCCCATGTTCTTAAAATTTCATGATTTGTGAGCTATGTAAACACTTTGATACTCTTGAGAAAGCACCTCTTAAATGGTGCAAGCAAATGAGCACCTTTTATTAGCTTATTTTTAAAACTTCAGTCAGTGCTTGTCCTATTGCTAATGGTAATCTACTTGGGACGCTTTTGATTTAATCAAAGGCGGTGTTTAGCCACACTATTATGTCATAAAGTGGTGCATTCCACAACCTGTCCTTCTGACAGATTGGCTTCAGTATAAGCTGTTTTTAGACTAACAAGAAAGTTTTGAGTTCTGAAACTTACAGGATGTTTTTATAGTACAATGACCTCTTGTATGTCAAAAGATCAAGGGAATTTTGATTTCTCAGTTAATGACCCCTTTAACACAACACACTCAACATGTTTCTCTGCCATGATCATTATGAAATCTGATTAGGCTGACGTGTCTCGACATATCAAACAGATTCTTAACTGTTACTACTGGTATTTTTAGCTTAATTACATGTAAGCTGTCACACAAGAAACCTGGTTATTGGATTATTATGGGCTTTTCAGCTTAAATTAAACAGTAAAACAATTATGAAACTGCAGAAATGTAAATGATAAAAATATTAAACCACTGTTCTGGCCAACATATATTATTTTATTGTATAAAATTACAATATTTAAAACAGGTGACAACTTTCCCCAACCTAAATTCCTTTTATTCAGACAGTACAGCGTGGCAATGGCAAGGTCATTGGTTTGATTCCCAGGGAATGCATAAACTGTTCATAGTATATGCACTGTAAGTCGCTTTGGATAAAAGTGTCTGCTAAATGCATAAATGTGAATGTAGTTCTGATGAAACACTCATTTAGGAATGTTAACCACATGGTCTGTCTTTTTTATTTTAATTTTTTTTTTTTTTTTTGAAGAATTTAGAAAGTGTGTGTTTTTTTTTTTAATTAGCATGTTCTGGATTCTGTACCTTATGAAGTATTATTCTGGTGTGCGTTCGTTTTTTTTTTATACAACCTGCCCTGACCTGACATTAATATAAAATCTGCCTTCATTATATACTTGATTCTTGTCTGTATGCCAGTGTAGCTTTATTTGTTTTCTTATTACCAAACAGCTATTAAATACTATGAACAAACAGCTATTAAATAATTTAAAACTGTTTTGAACTAGATATTTGAAACCGACATATAAAACCACTGCTAGAGAAAACAAATGTGTAATTTGACTTTTATATAATATAACACAGAAATGTCCTTGTAACAATTAGCCCCAACTCACTCTATTCCCATAGTGGTGCTTTGAGAGAGAAAATAAGACATAAAAAAAAATAATTATTTCAATTGGGGTACAGGGAAACCAAAACAGGCCACTGTTGCCAGGTAAATACAAGCTCCATACCTGTGAAAACTGCATTCCTGAAGCTCCTGAATAAGACAGGAGCAATTTAACATGAGCTTGCTATATCTAAAATAAGATGCAGTCAGGCGTCGTCAAAGAGGTCAGGGGTGAGGAGCCACCCGACAGCCCTTGTCTGTTTGAAGATGTTAGAAAGATCCTGCAGACAGTTGGGTGAAAGGAAATCAAAGTGACCTGCTTTACTCTCAGATACTGAACTATTTTCAAGCGAGGAGGAAAAAGAAGAGCAAGATAAAGACTGTAAAAATTATTTTTCGAAGTTGGATTTGAAGATTACTGTAGTATATAGAAGTTTAATTCAATGTGTACTTGACATTTCTTCATAATTAATTGTGAAATTTACTAGCAATTTCTGAGTGAAAATTGTTTCTCCACCATTTTTTTGTTATTGTGGAACAGAAAAAAAAATGTATGAATGAAGCAGCATGAACGTTCTGCTAAACATCTGTTTTTGTGCTCCATGGAAAGAAAGAAAGTCCTACATGAGGGTGAGTAATTGCGATTAGAATTTTAATTTATGGATAAAGTGTCCCTTTAAGTACTCATTTATATATACGGGCCAAGACTGAGGAGGAGCACCCAAATAAACTGTTGCATAAACAGCATAAAGTTGTGTTACTTTGGTTACAATTAAACTGCTGCTATACTCTCTTAATAGTGGAAGTGTTACTAAAAAATTTACGCTCAACCGGCTAACGTATGTACATTTGAATCCACTCATTATACAGTATGTTCATATTCATTATATGTCCCACTATTTTAACATGGCTGACAACATATGGAATGTAAACTAACTTTAAAAGCCATCTGGTTGTTAAAGGGGTCATATGATGCGATTTCAAGTTTTCCTTTCTCTTTGGAGTGTTACAAGCTGTTCATGAATAAATAAGATCCCTGAAGTTGCAAAGACTAAAGTCTCAAAACCAAAGAGATATTCTTTATCAAAGTTAAGACTCTGCCACACCCCCCTAAAACGGCTCGTTCTAACACGCGAGGGACTTTGTAGAAAACGAAGCGTTTGAGAGAGGCGGGGCATAGAGGACCTACAATAATGTACAGTATTTGAAAAATAATGTGTTTTTTGAACATTAAAGCATGTCAACATATTCTGTTACACCAAATACACAAAATAATGATCTTTAAAAAAGCATCATATGACCCGTTTAAGCAAACTATCCTTACAGCTATAATTCAGGAACTATAAAAAGGGAAAATTGTTCACCACATATTGTGAAACATCAAGAGCCTTGCAAGCTGTCTCTGTCCCAACACTGCAAATATATGATATTCTGTCTTGCACAGATTAAAGATAATTAGCAAAAACACCCAAAAGACTTAAATGGCCTCTTCAGAGCTTACTGTATTCCATTAAGACTGCTCCCGCTTGGTGGCTGGGCAAAAATAAACAAATTGGTTTTCCACTAATATTGTGCATTTGATATCGGCTTCATGTGATTTCATTCCACAGACAAGCGGGCACCGAAAAGACTGGAGAGAAGGCATTTATGAATGTTCTCTCGTTGACATTTCAATTTACTTAACTATTGTCTGGCAGGCTGGAGAGGTTTTGAAAGTCTACTCTTATTATTTACTCTGTAATACTCTTACAAACGGACAGTATTATTCATGTCATGGTGAGTTAATAATGACAGTTAAAACAATCAAATAATTCTAAATGTGTTCTTTGAAGACCAGTAATCGGTAAGGGCTTTGCAGGAGTTGTTCAGTATAAAGGAGACTGGGGAGTGTTGAAACATGCTGTTTGTTTGTGCTACACTCTTAAAAATAAAGGTGCTTCATGATGCCATAGAAGAACCTTTTTGTTTAAATGGTTCCATAAAGAACCTTTCTGTTTCAAAAAAGGTTCTTTCGTGGCGAACGAAGGTTCTTCAGATTATAAAAAGGTAAGAAAGAGAAAGAACCTTTGACTGAATGGTTCTTTGTGGAACCAAAAATGGTTCTTCTATGGCATCGCTGTGAAGAACCTTTTGAAGCACCTTAATTTTTGTGTAATTTGTGAGTGTATGTGTCTCAAACAAACTACTACTTATCCACTAACTAACTTAAGAGTACAAAGAGTGCCATTCTCACTACCTACCCACTACTAATAGAAAACATGGATATCAGTTTAAAATTTGTGCATGATTTATTGTGTTAATCATATTTACTTTGTTTCTAAACCATCTTTTTGCCAAACATCCATCACATTCTAATTTATTGAGATGCACCCGTATAAAAGTATACTTTTAAGTATGCTTTAAGTATAACGGTAGTAAACTTTGAGTACACAACTAGTTTACATCTATGTTTTAAAAAAATGCTACAAGTGTTTAATTAGTAAACTATAATTAATAGTCTTTGTTCAGCTTTTTGTTCAAAATGTTGTTTATTTCTTCTCGGAGCACAAGTATAGCTCAAATATATTTTGACTTTTTCTAAGTATAAGTCAAGTATACTTAAGTGTCATTTTAAGTATATTTCTGAGAAGTACATAAAGCCCATGTCTGAGAAGTACATAAAAAGTAGGCTGAAAGTATACTTTCATATTTTTTAGCTTAAAAGAAGTATACTAATAGCACACTTGTATAAACTTATTTTTCGTAAGGGACCCCTCACCTAATCCAACAACTGTTTCACTTTAAGCCATTCTGATGATACAAAATGACAAATAACATCTGATCAGATACATACAATGTAATCACTGTGTGCGTGTTTGTGTGTTAGTCAGTCGCACGATTGCGTCATATGTAGGGTTTAAGTGCAAAAAATCCAGAATATGTTCATATTTGGATTATGAAATTATTTAAATATGTATATTCATTTCATCCCGTAGCTCATTTCTAATCGGTCACAACTGGTCTTACCTGGTGTTGAATTTCCAGAAATGTTTCTTTCCCAGATCTCAGGAGTTCACAGCTAAATGTATCAATTTTATCGCAGATGCCTCTCCTAAATTAAAGAAATAAAAATGCTATCTTCAGAAATAAGAATTAAAAACAAATTAGCTAATTGTTGACACAGGCTACAGAAAGAATAAAGAGCCATAAAATGTGGATGGCAAAGCTCAGACAATTTTACAATTTTAAGATATCTGTTTTTGCAGAAGAACATTTGAGAGCAGACAAAATACTCAATTTCATCTCATTTCTGTATTGGAGAACCAACTGAGATCTTAAAGGAATTTCATTTGTGTGTGTGTGTGT